CCTGCCATAAGCAGGGACATTTCTAACTAGATCAAGCTACTCAGAGCCTCATCTAGCCTGATCTTGATTGTCTCCAGGGATGGGGCCTCCACCATCTGTCTGGGTAACCTATTCCAGTGGTTTATCACCCTCATATTGAAGAACTTTTTATGTTGTATCGAGCTTGGCCTTAGATACAGTGCTTTGAGCAATGCCCCAAGGCTCTGTGCTCCAAGTCCAAACCCAACAATCCCTCCCAAAATACAAGCTCTGACTGCAAAGAGCTGGAACAAATCCAGAAACGCCACGAGGTCACCACGAGGGAAAGTCATGCTGGAGTCACCACCTCTTTTCTCTCTGCTTACAGGTCTGTCTGAACTCACTCATTATGAGTAATTCAACTACATGGATCTTCCTTCCAACTCCAACCAGCCAGGCCCATGGGACCAACCAGAGCGGGGCCGTGGGAAAGGCAGAGCCGTCCTACGCTGTCCTCAAGTTCATGGAGAGCTTCTGCCTCATCAGCTCTGCCTGTGGGATGGTGGGCAACGGCATGGTCCTGTGGTACCTCGGCTTCCGCATCCGGAGGAACCACTTCACCGTCTACATCCTCAACCTGGCCGCGGCCGACTTCGGGTACCTCCTCTGCATCGCCATCGAGACCGTGCAGTACCTGATGCAGTTCAACGTGGGGGTGCAGTTTGGGATATTCCTCTTCCTGGATCTTTTCATGTATGGGACGGGCTTGTACCTCCTGACTGCCATCAGCATCGAGAGGTGCCTCTCCGTCCTCTGTCCCATCTGGTGCCGAAGCCACCGCCCAAAGTTCTTGTCTGGTGTCATCTCCGCCCTGCTCTGGAGCCTCTCCCTGCTGCTGAACACCCTGGGGTATGTTTTGTGCACTGTTCGCCCCTCTCCCACGAGCTGCCGCCTCCTGCTCATCACCATTGGGTCCTTGGACTTCCTCTTCTGCACGCCCCTCATGCTGCTCTTCAGCCTGACCCTCTTCCTTCGAGTCAAATGCAGCTCCCAGCGCATCCAGACAGGGAGGCTCTTCACCGTCATCATGCTCACCGTCCTCTTCTTCCTCATTTTTGCCGTGCCTCTGAGCGTCCTGATCCTCTTTGACTTCTTGGGCTACAAATTTCTCTACTCCCCGGAGATTGGCTTCGTGCTCTCCTGTGTCAACAGCAGCCTCAACCCCGTCATTTACTTCCTCGTGGGGAGCTACAGGGACCGGAGAATCAAGTTCACCCTCAGGCTGGCGTTCCAGAGGGCCTTTGAAGATTCAGCAGATGACAAAGACGAACGGGAAACCCGTGACACAATAACCATGTCCTCCTAAGACTCTGCTGTGCCTAACACCAGTCTGGAGCTGAGGGCCAATAGTTTACAGAATTGAAGAGCTCTGAGGTATTGGGTGAAGTTTATTACATCTGATCTTCAATACCTCCGTTGTAGATCTCTGCTCTTGAGATGGTTGTTTTAAGCTCCATCTGTGGTACGTGAAAACTCATAAGCACCTGGACCACAGAATTTGAACTGGATTAGGACCACCTTCAAAGAGACTCTTTCTTTTCAGTGGCCGTTAAATAATTTCACTTGGATAAGAGGAATGTCTTGGTGTCTGCATTTCATCAAAGGAGCCCCACTCACAAGTGGCAGCTCACTCAATAAATCTCTGTCTTTCAGAGCACAACAATATCCAGTCCATAAATTCTCAGTCACTCTTTACTCAGATCTCTGAAGATGAGGTGGGAACCCATCTTCTTCTTGCTGAAATCAGCCCTGAAATTCCTGGAAGGAGAGTCTCTCTCACTCATTTTGAAATACCTGTACCTCAGCAACATATGGAACCTTTTATGCCCCACAGAATGCACCATTCTTTGCTTCCTAATTCAGGCATTTCAAAGTGAAATGATTCATGACCTAGAAACTCTTTCCTTCTATTAACTAGGGATGTTTTCAGACCGTAGAGTTGTGATGCAGTAGGAAAGGGCTCCAACCACCACCAACTCATCTCACAATGTTATGCTTTGATTTGCACACTCCCTTTCTTGTGTTTCAAAGAAATACAGGGCTGGAGTCACACGTTATTTTAGCCCACTCCAACCCAGGGCAGACAATCTGCATCTAACTACAGCAGACATTGGGTTGTCAAGAGAGAAGAGGTCTCCCCTGGGTCTCCTTTGCTCCAGGTTCAACACCCCCAAGTGTTGTCAAAAAATTCATTTTCCCCATGTCCTGGTTTGAGCTAGAGCAGAGCCAATTCTGTTCAGAGGTTTTGATTTCCAGCTCAGTTTTTTTTCTAATCAGCTTTCTAAATTAAGTTCTAATTAACTTTCTGAAGTTAACAGGAAATTTTCACACCCATTGTAGGACTTCCTCAGTGCCTGCTTCACAGCATCAGTGATGATGGTGATATAACTGCCATTGGGGAGGGGGGTTGGGTTTGATGTTGGTTTTGTATAGATTTGTAAATGTGTCATTATTTTTTTGTTATTGTTCCATTAAAGATGTTCTAGTTCTCTTTTCCAATCTATAAGTTTCTCTCCCTTATTCCCATTGTCTTCCCCTTTGGGAAAAGAGAGGGGTGAGTAGAAAGTGTCTATGATTTGTCTGGTGACCAACCTAGCTGTAACCTTTGACAACCCAAGTCAAATCTGTTTTGCCCACAACAGTCAGTAATGGATCTCCTGTGCAAAGAGGAACTAGGGACACATTTCTCCACCAGTTTTAAAGAGACCTGAGAACTTCAGTTGTGTTCTGAGGGTCTACCATAATACATCCATCACTGTACCTCAAACCTGTCTCTGTCAGAGGAAGGGATTCATTTCCTCATTGGTGTTTCTCTCCTCATTTCTCCCCTTTCTCTCCCATCCTTTAAGAGGCAAAAGGAAACAGGAACTTCCCTATGCCCAGGTCTGTACTTTTCTGGCAATGTCTGCCCCTGTCCAGGTCCCAGCTTGGTGCTACCACATCCCAATGTGTGTGGGGAATAAGGAGATTTAGATCGTGGCCAAGGGGGCTTCTGGAGAAAGGTGTAGAAAAGGAATGGGTGGGAACCAGATCTGTGGAAACTATAAGCTAAAGTCTGTTGTTAGTTATTAAAAAATAAATTAAATTCTTCCTCTCAGTGCCTGGGCCTGAAGCAGGTCCTGTAGGGAGCCTGATGTGGGGCTAAGGCAGATGGACTCCAAATCCTCAGTGGTGATTTTCCCCACAGATCCCATCTGAACGTTTTCTGATTTACAACCAATCACCTGGAGGTTTGATATCTCCCAGCTGCACCATGGGTGGAATTTGTCCCCTCTGGACCACTTGGGACCTTTCACAAAGAGACTGTCTTTATCTTACCTCAAACCCAAGGAGGAATGAGCTGATGAAGTCAAAGCTTCTGAACACAGAACAAATTTTAGGGCACTCAGCAACGCTTTTGACTTCTCATCTCCTCTGAGTAGAGGAAATGACTAATGGAAAGAAATTTCAGAAGATAAGCTGTATAGAGAACACTCTCACTGACAGATACTCCTATTTTATATATATTGTTTCTGTCCTGGCAATTATATGAATATTAGCACCCTCTTCACCATTGTTTTTCTTATTCCCTATTCTTGACAGATGAATTTCCTGGATATTTGGCAATATGATTTTCTCCATGTTAACATCTTATTGTCTCAGTCCGTAATGCCTATTCCAGAGCTTCTTTAGGATATTTCCATCATTGCTGTGCTTTGCATTAGAGCAACAATATAGACACATCACCCATCTTATGGGAAGCTCCTGACAAAAACAAGGATCTGAGAAGAACCACGAATACTGGTTGCACAGCGTGCAGTAGAGGAAATAATATTTGATTATTGTCAAAGACAGCACTAAGTAGAAGGCAAATCATAATAATATTAAAGAAAGGAGAAAATGAAGACAGAAAATGTGGACTGGACCAGATAAATCTTTTTTTTTTTTTAAGACACAGAAAGAAACTTCAAGTCAGCATGTGCTGGAAAAGGACAGAAAAGCCAAGTTTATTTTAGAGCAGCTAGTTCCAGCTGTTAATCTGGTATTTCACAGCCACACTTGCTCGCTAGCAGGTCAATAACACTTTCTCCAGTGATTCCAGAGGGAGCAGAACCAGCCTCCGACTACACATGAGGATTTAGCACTGTGGGGATTTTCATTTGTCCAAGCAAATCCTTTGTCATGCAAACACTTTATACTGTCCCTGTTGCCCAGTTCCACCCGTATCTCTAGCCATCCTGGTGGTCATCTCCATCCCAAGGTGGGTGTTCATGTGCCATCTTTATCATACCAACACTCATCTATCCAGTGCTCAGCAAGCTCCAGGGCTTAGGCACTTCTCCTGTGCCACACTCCTCTGAAGTTCATCACGTTCAATGAATAAGCCCTTGCAAGAATGGAGACACCACTCCACACTGGTTGCTGTCAGGAGAGACATGCTGCTAAGGTAACAGAAAAGAAACTGGGGCTAAATTGTAGTAAAGATAACACCAGGGAAATTCAAACAAAAAAACCAACCCTGCACTGTGTAACACAAATGGAAAATAAAAAATAGGATTAGAAGGATCTCAGTGATGGTCAGGTTCAGGATGTAGAGAGTGGAGGAGCTCTTCTTCATGTGGAAGTCCAGGAAGAACGCGACCATCACACTTCCTCAGAGACCACAGAGCCAAACACCCCAACAAAACAGCAGAAAAAACTCAGCAGTAGAGATTTGTGAGGTTTGTTGCGTTGGTCTCCTCCCAGGCAAGACAATTCCATTTCAAACCACCCCAAAACTCATCTGTGGAGGCCAAGGAGCTGGAGTTCATTCAGCAGG